CTTTCTGAGGCCAGACACAACATTTCATGACACCACATTGGTCACTTGAAGGTCCAAACCACTTCTTGACCGAAAATCATGCAAAGAAACAGGCAGATCTGCAGCCACCAGCCACACTGCTGAGTTATTTTAGGTGCTAGCAGCTCCTGTGAAACTGGTGCAGTTGCACATATAATTTTATGATTTTTTGAGGAAATGTTAGCAAACAGATTCCCACCAGAGAATACTTCAGCTCTCTACCAAGTTGAGACTGATAGAGCTATAATAGTGTGTTAAAATAGTTTAGTCTAGTATCCCCAGGTGGCAAAAAAGAATAAATATATGGATGAGCAGGTAGCGACTTTCTAGGCATGTTTTTACCAGTGAAAAATGTTTCACTCTTTCTGTCCAGCTTAATTAGGATAACAACAGCTTTCTGTGAAACCTCACAAAAATGAGTGAGATGCAAGTGTGCCTATGCTAGCCAACTGCCTAGGAAATAAATGTGCATCTTTATTCAAAAACAAAAAAGGATAATAGTAACAACATAACACAAGACTTTTTTTTAAATCGAAGAGGAATTCTTCAAAATAATAATAATAATAATAATAAAAAACTCTTACTCTGTAAACATACTGAACCTTCTCTAAGTAGATTATACTGTGCTGTGTTCTGAAATGGTGCAAGTAAGGGGAAAATTTTCCTACAATCTCCTCCTTTAATTTGCATCTATTAATAAATCAAAGAAGGAGGAGGGAAGGAGGAAATTAACTACTCTTGTTTTTACCAATCGTGTCATATTTTCCAAATCAGACAAGGTATTTTTCTGCAGCTCGCCATCTGAAATTCAGTCATTAAAATTCTACTATTTAATTAATCTATTACGCTGCTGAATGCTTGAAGAATTGCTTTAGCACCTTGCAAAAACTGGGCTTATGTAATACAGAATATTTGCTGTCTGCAGTACATTGGGTTTAGTTGAAGAAGTAACTGGGAAAAGCAGAATCAATGTAACACCAACTTGAGCACTTTATCACTCAATAGGAATAACTAAACAACAAAAAACCACAATATTGGGAAAACTGTCACACAGCATCCCACACGGATGAGCCACCACGTGTCCATCAACTTGGAGCAGCTCTGCTCAGATGCTTCCCTGGTTGAAGAAATGCAGGAATAGGAGGCAGCAGGGCCTGAACATAAAACATTAACACTGAAATTAGACTAAACACCTAAAAAGAACATAGAGAGCATCAAGAGCAGCCTTGGGCAGAACAACTCAAACTAAACATGTTTTCCCTTTCATTCAGAGTCCCTTCCACTTGGGAGCTCTCACTGTTGCAGAAACTCTTCATTCTGCAGGTTTTTTAGACTATTTCCATCTTTTCACCCTCAAGAAGAGGCACTATAGCCCTAGCAGCAGATTTTCCCTTTTCACACAGCGTGCAAGAGTTGTTCTGCAGGTCCCCAATAAGGACACTGCCAAAAAGCCTTTCTTGGCAGTACCTCTGCCAAGATACACATGCAAGTACCTTGTCTTGGCCCAGAAAACAGGCATGCAAATTCACTTTGCTAAAAAAAAAAATAAATAAAAACTTAAGTACAGATATAGCCCAGCATCTAATTAACGGCATGAGAAGTGACACAATACTGCTGTTAATCATGAGTCACACCACCATTCATTTCAATACCCAAACGTATTTACAAGCTACACGATGGGGCTCCCTCAGAAGCTGAACCTTAAGAGAAATATTCCCACATCAACTATATTCATTGCCTCATAAAATTCAAATGAAGGGCCTATAGATTTGGCCAATCTACCTGGCACGTTGCTGAGAAGAAAGGCCAAAGACGGGTTATCCGAGTTGCAGCATCGCTGTCACACACTTTGTTGCAGCGCCGGAGATGTTTTAAAGGGAGATTTGGCTTTTTGAACACCTTTAATAGGCTTCCTTGGAGTTTTAATTAGTAAGAGATCCAAGCAGGAGCTGACAGCTGGCAGAATCTCCTGTCGCGAGTTAAAGTCAACCTAATTAAGATTCTGGAAGGAAAACATCTTCCTCCCAACACTTTTAATCAGTCAGGCTTGGTTAGGAAAGCAGCATGGAGCCTTTCGCCTCGACAACAGCCTAACCTTGGAGATGTGGTGCCTCCAAAGAACGGCGCGGGCTCTTCCCATGGAAACGGAGCACAAATCCTAGCAGGTCTCTGGAGCGTTCGCCACCTTCCATTTAACAAAATGTAGGTATAATTTGGGATTTCTTCTCAGATTCGGGAAGCCTGGCACAAATATGAGTATTTTGGTTGAGCCAGGTGTACTCAGCCCTGGCTTTCAGTGCACGGCCTGGTTCTCCACCACCACATATGGCTCTTAAGTCACTTATCCAGTGACTCTTAAGCCACTGCACCGAGGGCAGCGGTGCTGGTGCCATCCCAGAGCCCCTCCAGCAGCCAGGAAGGGGCAGAGCGAGCAGGAGGCACCAGGAGCCGGCCCCGCGGGACCTGGCGGAGCGATGGCAACGCGCACGACAATAATCCCCCTCTTTGTAAGACACAATCCCGGGAAGCGCGTGTGCGGGGAGGTTAAAGGCTCTTGGAGCAGCTGCTGGATGCTGCTCAGACTGCTCAATTACTAAACTGCAGCTCACGGGGGTTCGATGCGAGCAAGGGGCGGACAGTTGGAAAAGTGAAATAGGTGCCACGTGCTGCACCCCCTGCTCCAGTTCATTTCCGCCAGTCCCAGATACTGGAATAATCTGATGAATGGGTGCAATCGTGGCTGATAACAGCGTTATGAATATTAATGCTTAGCATGCTTCAATCTTATCTTTTGCATTGTGCTTTCATTCCTGCAGGACCTCGCCACGCCAAGAGCTGCATTCACGGGAGACGTGTTATTCCCTGGGAATTCAGCTGGCTTGCAGGACGCCTGGGAAAGCTGCATTTCCTTTCAGCCACCATATGCTATAGACAGCCAGTCTGCTTGGTTTATCCGCTCAGCATGACAAGCCTCCTTCCTCAAGTCAGCTAATTTCACCTCTGCCTTTTTCACTTCAGCTCAAAGTCCAACGGGCTTAACATCTTATTCCCTGCCTTTCCATCACTGTGCTCTCCTCTGCAAGCACACCACTTATTTCCATGACCAGGATGCTCTCCTTGAGGCCTCCTGCTTCGCTCCCTTCCTTCTTCCACTCCTGCCCACAGGACCCTGCTCCTCGCTCCTCCAGGAGCCTCATTTTCCAAGGATGCTGCTTGGACTGCAGCAGATCTAATTGCCCACGCAATTCCCTTGCTAAAGGTGCTGTGAATTTCTGCCATTGGAAACCACTTTGTTCCCAAGAGAAAAACAAAATCTCTGTCCATAATCACATTTTTCCCCCTTAGAGCTCTACTCCTCTCCAAATTAGACACATATTCTCCACAGGCTGGACAATCGTCCAAATTTCCACAGAAGTGGAAATTAGTGCTCAGTTTCTTCTCTTCCTACCCTGCTAAATTTCTCTAGGTCCATCTTGACTACACCTGCTATCACATGGCAAACTTGTTCTCATTGTTTATCAGCAAGACCCCTCACTAGCAGCTGCAAAAACCTATTTATAGCACCCATACTGATATTAGCTTTAAACATTTATATTCTTAGACTTGATCAGAAATGTCATACTTTGTTAACGTTGAATACACAAGTCCTCAACAGCAAAGAAACTATTTATAATATAAAAGAAATACGAAAAGCACACTTACAAAAAGACACGAGAAAGAAAGAAAGAAAGAGATGCTACAAATAAATATTTGGCCTGGATTTTAAAACATTTTTTTCAAAAGAAACTTTTAGAATCAACTAAACAAAGTCCAAAGCAAAAGACAAGCCACATTAAAGCTAACACAAAAGAACGTAATATTCTTTTTGAAATCATTATACTACACAGGTGATTTGACAGTCACAGTAAAAAAATAATATCTTTGCTTGGAGACTGTGATACAAGCTCTGTTGGATTTTTTTTTTATTAAAATGTTAAATCTTTCTTTACTAATTTGCCACCTCTGCACAGTCTTCAATGATCCATCCTTCAGCCCTGGAGTGAGATTAAAAAAACCTAGGATGCAGCTTGCTACTTTCTTTTGACCCTTGAAGCTCCAAGAAGACCTCTCAGACAGCTTTGCACAAGTACATGTATAGAGATATTTATATACATACAAAAACACACTTTATATTTTATAAATGAACATACACGCCTATGTAAAGCACACACACAAATAGTCTTTAGCAGGCTGAGAATCCCTGACAATCCCATAGTTTGGCCAGGCATGTGTGGACCCCCTTCCCCGTACCTGAGCAGATGGCAGTGACGGGGGCTCCGCAGCAGACACCAAGCAGAAGCTGAAGCCAATCCAGAAATCCCAAAAGCACCACGGGAGCAGCATGGAAAAGGCTCCCTTTTGCTCCAGCCGAGGGAAATGAACCCAACCAGTGGCCCAGCTGCACTGTGGACAGCAAACTCATCACACCTGTGACTGGTAGCACCTCACAGGCTGCACCTGCAGTGAGAAACAGAGTGGGGTGGCTTTAACCATGCCTCCTAACCCACCAATATTCTAGATTCTATGATAAAAACAGCAACAACCACAAAAAGATAGCATTGCAAATAGTACCTCTTTGTTTTTATTTGTGGTCAGAAACACCCTCGGCACTTTGGGATCTGCAAAGTCAACCCCATCCTTGCTCAAAGATGTATGTTAAAAGCTTTACTTTTAAATGATGCGTCCTAAAGCACTTTTCTATGGTGGAAAGCCGCTTTACTTCAGCACAGTGGACTGAGATTGCAGTACTGAGGACTGCAATGGGCTATGCCACACTGCACTCCATCCTCCGTGGCTGCCCATGCCGGTCCTTTCAGGGATGCCAATCCTAACTTTGGGAAGTGACAAATTATTTTGCAGTTGGCAAGAAGAGCAAAGCAGTCAATGGAGCCTAACTGAATGCGAAATCACAAAATACCTGAGATGAAGAACAGGTTTTTAATTGCTTACTCCTCTCCCGCTCCAGTGTCTGCCCGTGATGGATGAGGTGACAGAAGTATCGTCAGTAAATTCTAAGTAAATTAGGATTAGCAGAAGTGGTACTGCATTCATCTTCTTTGGGAAGAGTTCTTTGTTTCCCTTTGGAGTCATCCTTTGGTATTGTAGTTTATGGCATTAACCAGTGAAAGGGCTGCAATAAAAGGCATTAATACAGTGGGAAGAAGGGAAAAAAGTCAAGGGTTCTGATAACATGCAGATTAAGGGCATTAAGAAAATACATTATCATCAAAAGACAAATCATTTCAAGGAGACAAATTTTGTTCAATTACCCTGGGCAATATATGGCGTTTCTGCAGACTGCACAGTTTGCTTTCACATACCTGATCTATTGAGAATACGTATGCATGTATTGGGGAATGTGACTATGTTGCTACATGTAATTAGGAATATGCATTAAGGGAGACCTGTTTCCCCCCCAGCCAAGTGTTTTGGTTTGCAGCTCATTAAAAAGGTGAATGACAGCAAAGTGAATCACTTAAACAGTAGTGTATGCCTAAGTTCCCTGTAATGGGAACCAAGAATGTTCAACACTTGCGAAAAATAAAGATAAATACATTTTTGCAAAATGTTATTTTTGCGAAGTGTTGCAAAAAATTCTAAGCTTTGTTGTCCAGCAAGACATAAAGGCAATACGGAATTATGTAGCTGGTACTGGAAAATACTGCCTGGGAGAAATACTACCTGTGCTGAGCCACTAACACCCTCTTGTGCAGGAAGGCTCCAGCAGCCGCTACCTAATTAAGCAGGATTGGCAATGTTTGAGAGCACCTCACAGACTCAGATGACATTGCAAGTGCAAGCTCATTTATTCCGCAAACACTGAGTGCTGTAACTCTTCATTTCTGCTCATTTGCTGTGGTACTACAAGAACGCCTCAAATGCAGGAATAATTATTTAACACAAAACATGCTGCTAAGGTTGAGAGAAATTAATCTGGAAACAAGTGGCATATTCATGAGCGAGTTTCCTTTGCTATTGGTATGCTCCAGTACAGCCCTAATAACTACCTTTGAGGAAATAATTGACTTGGTCATTCAATCTGAACATGTGTTTGATAGTTATTAGCATCAGACACGTGTCCATGGAATTCATATATTGAAAGCTCAATTAAAATTGAAATACAGGAGCAGTTTTCTAGTCATGACACAGTAGGGCTGTCTCACAGCAGTTACACATAACGCTCATCACACCCGATGCTGATGGACATGTTACGTGGGCCTATGGAAGGAAACCTTGGCCCATTCTCTTTCTTTATTACATTCTCAAGGGACAATACCTAACATTATTTGTAGCGTGCAGATGGTCTAGGAGATAAGTAAGCCTTCCATATGTTCCTTCCAGCGCTCTTAACAGTTCACTGGATGAAATTCCTCCCACAGAGGAATTTTAAGTGGAAAGAGTCATCATCTGGTCTGATCTCATATGTGTCAGGTAGAGTATATGAACTTGAGCACGTAGTACTGATGAGCTTCTTTTCAGTTGACCTGTCAGAAATGTTAAGCAGCAACATTCAATCTCGAGAGCTGCATAATGAATAGACTTGGTTCAAATACATTATAAATGTAGTTACAATTTTTTGAGAGACAAGCTAGTATAAATAAGGTGGTGATAATAGCCAAAGGGTTGAGAAATTGAGAGCGTCTCTGTCCTTCTAAGAGAAAACCTCATGCTGTAGGTTTTGTTCTCATGAGCTAAGATTAAGATTTCTTACAAAAACATAATATAGTAAATATTCTTTCAGATTTTAGAAGGTCTTAAAATTCATTGCCAAGTTTTCTCTGATAAAAAAAAAAAAAAGGTATGGATGTCTATCTTGTACATGCAAGTGGTTCCACTTAATTCTGGCAAAATCATATAATATACATCAAACTTTTAATGAATATAAATAGATCTACATAAATAAGGCATACTTCATGGTGACCAAAATGTATTATAGAAGTTTATAACTCTTGAAAGATTTATGATCTAGTTAGAGAGATGAGGATTTATGGAGGTAAACTTACCTCGTCACAGCTGAAGAAGTGATGAATTGTCAGAAATCACAGATGCAGCAAAATAATCCAGGTGTTATTAATTCCCAAATTTCATCCTAAGCCTCAATAATTTTCACATCTAAAAGCACAAATGCAATCAATTAAACTGTAATTAATTAAAAATGTTCCCTCTCATCACACCAAATCAGCTCACCTCAGACAGACTGTCCGCATATCCCTGATTTTAAACTGTAAATAAAAGGACAGGAACTTTCAAACTGGGTGACTTTAGACATGAGATGCTATTTGGAGCAGCTATCCATTAAACTGGGTCAATAGAGAGGAGGATGTTGAAGCACAGTAAACAAGGACATTTGTGTCATTCTTCATCAGCATTTCTGATTTTCCTAGTGGTTCCAATCTCCTGCTTTTACAACCCAATTTTACAGTTAGAAATCTGAAAAGAAAGAAAAAAACTAAAAAGAATTTCACTGATTTTTTTTTTTTTTGTCCTTACATATGGAGTTCCTGTTGAGTCTTTAGGGAAATTCTGGTATTAAGTCCACTGACTGAAAGGCTAAATAATATATCTGAAATATTAAACAGGAAGAAATAGCACAGGCCTATTAAGCTGGTTCAAGCAACTGTATTATTGTGCTCCACTGCTTTCCTCTCTCTATAGCCAAAATGCCATCGTCATGATTTCCTACACACTTTACAATTCACTGAAAGCTGAAACTCTTTCTTCTGAGAAATGTAATTCTCAGTAGGGTAATTTTCCAGCCTCTGTATGTTATATGTATATAGGGTGAAAGAAAAAAACACAGCAATCTTTCTTTCTGCAGGTTGTACAGCTTCCACAGTAAAGATAGGAAGTTTTTAATCACATGCTATGAAGTATCAACATGTTCAGATATCCGTTAATATTTCTCAGATCTATTTCATAATTTATGTCCCTCTAGCAAAGATGCTCATTATGAGAACTGCTCAGCAGTGGATTATCCACATGAAACTCGCCTGCACCAACAGTTTTCCCCATACAATTGAAGTAAATCCCCTCGTCCACAAAGAGATGTATTACAGAGATGCGTATGAGGAATAGGTCCCGGCTCCAGATACAATCTGCAGATCTATTTGGAGGAGAGCAGCCCCTCTGAGAGCTCAGGAGGGGGAACTCAGCACCTGGGGATTCTGGCATCGGTGCAAAGTTTCTGCAGATCGCACTGCTAGCTCTGGGCAGCAGGAGAGCTGGGCTCGCTCACACCATCCCGTGGCATTTTCCTTTCCAACGCTGCAGACTGTACACTTGCTTTGTAAATATTTGTTGAGTAGTCTGCTTATTTTTAACTCCATAAATGCTATTACAGGGAACATTTAAGTTATTCAAAGAAACCCCTTCCCAGCTACCTGTTATTTGTATGTATTGCACAAATATCCTATAACACTCTCTGTGAATTGCAAAATAGTTATTAAAGCTTTTTTTTTTTTCCTTCTGATTTTTTTTTAAGGACAATCCCACAAACTATTTTTTTTCCATCGCTCAGTAAATTGGATTTTGTTTGGAAAACTGAAGGCAATGTGTCGCATTATACAGAAATATTTCTTTTCCTCTCATTTAATCTGTTAGAAAGATCTTGTCTATGCCCGGTGAAATTTCATTCCCACTTAATGCAAATGAAGTAATTCAAAGTTTACACTAACAAATTTTAAAGCCTAGGCAAGGAAGTGGTCATCCACTGTGATAACTTTTAATTGGAGATCTAGCATCAGTTCTATTACAAGAAGATCGATAAAGCCAAACACAATGGAATTGTTTTTCCATCCATCAACTTCAAATTTGGCCATTTGATTTCAGAAGATATTTTATGCAAGGCACCACTAGTACAGAAGACTGCAGGAGCCAAACTAAGAAACATTACTGGAGAGGAGCAATGGCTGGAATCAAGTGAAGAGATCCAGGTTAAACTCCCGTCCGTTCCACTAAATTCTTTTCAAGCCCTGGGAAACTCACATTTAGCTCCGAAAGATAAGAAGAGATGAGTCCTTTTTGCCCACCCTTATAGACAGCAATCCCTTAGCTTCAAGAAACTTTTCTCAGGTTAGGAATACACCTGTGCATGCAAATATTCATGTGCATAGACACATATATACCTACATATAAATATATATTTATACACAAACACATATATGCTTTCTAAAATAACTTGGACAAAACACATATATGTATATGTATGCTCCACTTGAAAGTGAAGGATCTCTGCAGTATTTTCCAAGCACTACGACTGTATAAAATAGATAGTAAGTAATGTCTCCGGAATTTGCTACCCCAGCACAGTAGCAAAAGGAAACAGGAGTTTGGGAGGGTGCCTGAGAAAACACGTGTGGGTGTGTGTGTTTGTCTGAATCCTTAGTTACCCTATGATTAATCTCAATTGGAGGGAAAGAAGAGTGAAACATAAAGCCTAACAACACATGGATAGCTTAGCACTTCTGATTTTGAAAAGGGCAAGTGAACAAATCTCTCTCGCTGCTGGTGTTTCAATACAAAGACAGGCAACATATGAAGCAACATAATTTACTTTGACACACCATCATTATTTGTTAAGATAAATTAATAAACAGCACCTTTGGGTGCAGCCAATTCATTCAGTTCCTGTCACAGTTGATTAGAATATCTGACTGAACGGTAATGAAACCGAGAGTACATTAATATATGATAGTTTCCTTTGTTTACTTAATGCCGAGCAATTACCACTTACTCATTCCACCAATCACAATTTTCTCATAAAGAGGGAGCGTTTCTAACTCTTGCTTACAGTGTTGAAATGAAAAGGGTCATTACTCACATTTTATTATTGCCCAGAGCTCTTAGTTACTATGAAATAGCAGAGTTGTGGTGATTTAAATATGTAATGTATAGCCCAACTAATCGCATTTGTTCAAAAGATCTACGATTAGCGATATTAAAAGAAAAGCACAATGTATGAATGTTCTATAAATTTAATCGTCGGATATTCTACCTCCAATACTAATGATATTTCTTCCAACAGCGTGCATACTTCCGACAATTCCTCATTACCTTGAATATTATAAATAAGAGTAACATTCATGAATCATCCCTACTGTATTCTATTACCATTGCCCTTTACAAAATGTGTTCAGATCATCCTAATTTCTCGCTTTCTGTTTCCTGATAAAATAAAAATACTTCAAGTTGATTTTTTTTAAACTCTCTTCCGCGATATTGCAAGCTTATTTTCCAGTTCCTACTGTACACTATTCCTGTGCATCTCTCATATTTTGCTGCTGCTGCTCCATCTTTTTCTCTGGAGAGGAATGCTGTCCTGTGGTAGGCAGATAATTACTTTAACCAGTAAACTTCCCACAGAAAACAGTAATACTATTCCCTTATCCTATTCAATCTGCCTTACAAGGACCTCACGCTCTTCTAAGGTTACTTCACATCCTTCTTCTAGTAAATTAAAGAGTATTTTTATACTTAGCAAGCCCTGCTCACTCCCAAAGAGATGTCAATGCCTACTGCAAATGGGGAAGAGGGCCCCAGGGGTCAAATGAAATCCCAGCTGAATTTCGTACCAATATGTCCATTGACTTCAGTGAGGCCAGAATTTCATTTTCTCTCCATTATTTATGCTTAAGATCTCTATTGCATCTCCTGAACTTTTCCTCCCCGTAACGGGCTTCGCTGTAATAGAGATCACTAGTCTGAACGCAAGATTGGCTGGCAGGGATCCCTTAGTTCTATTACTGGGACTGATGTTCCCACTGTGGCTTTTGATAAGCTAATGAAGTTTAATTTACCAGGAGCTGTGGGTGCTAAACACACTGAAAATCCAGCCATTTTCGATAAGGAGCCCAATTATGGTTTAAATCACCTAGCTTCAGGTGGCTAGGTCCCCTGGACCACCACGAAATTTCAAGCAATAGGCTCACAGCAGCATTATCAGGATTAATCTGTAAATGCAAGACAATTTGATAAGAATTACTACCCGACAGAACCACTTACACATAAACCTTATCTCAGACCTTCTGAGGAACCTTTGAAACTATAATAGGCAACAAGAACAAAACAAGAAACCTGAGCAGACAGGAAGCTGCTTTCTCTACTCTTGGAGTCTAATTACGCATTTGCCATAATAAGAAATAAAAGAAACCATTTCGATTAATATTTACTGGAGGAATATCCTCTATTTAGCCCCTTATGTGGCTTTTATTTGCATAATAAGAATGACTCATACTCATTAATAGACTTTTTCTGCAGCTCATCTCTAGGATTTTATATTCTTTTAAGAACACAGGCAATGAGGTACTCGGTTTGGCCACGGCCAGATAGAAACTTGGGCTGAATTGCAACCTGAAATTTCAGAATGACAGTGACAGTGACAGTGTTCTTCCACCATCCTATGGGGTGAGTGAGAAATCTGAATCTTTTTGTTTCATTGAGTTGCCTTCTTGTCTCACAGAGCCTATGGAGCACGGTAGGAGTCAACTAAACACGCGTTGCACATGGGGGAATAGCCTTTTTCAGAAGCTCCAATAAGGTAATTCAGAAATTCCCAAATGCAGCTTGTCACAGTCCCACGAGACACAACTACATGCTAAATAAACATAAATACAGAAGAAGGCAGCACTCACTGACTGGAGCAGCAATGAAGTTCCTTTGGAGACAACTCTCCTGTGTGTCAAATACCAACATGAAAAAAATACCATGTCAAAATGTGGTACAGATACCACTGCAGGGAACCTCAGATGGAAGTGGGAGTTGACAAGAGATTATTTTTATGAATCACTGCTAGAATGTCATTAGTATGTAGGTCTTTTTTCTTCCATTTGATTAAGAAATGCTGAAACACGGGGATGGTTAAGGCCTGAGCAACAACAGGTAAATAATGCAATAAAATACAAAGCGACATTGAATTACCGCTCTTCTGGGCTGTACAAATATGACAGAGTCGGTGCCTGTCTGTTGTGGGAATACGTGCTCAAGAGCAGTATCAGGCAAGCTCAGCAAGGACGACTGATGAGCCTTAACATTGCTTGAAGTGGTCAAGAAATGCTGGACCAGAGATGGATCCAAGCA